CAAAACCTGGCAGCATGAGTGAGCCTGGGTGACCTCGGGATGACATTAATTTGTCGCAGCTTCATAAGGCACATTTCAATTATCGCGGATTTTTTCACGCCGACGTGGGGAAGAGCAGCCTGTCAGCACTGGCTGATTGGAAATGTGATGCAATTATCATCAAGCCCTAGTAAAGGATTTTAAATTAAAGACAACTTGGTCTGTAAATACTTTGTGTCTGCATTATTGTTCTCTCTTCCTAATGGCTTTTGGCACAGGCCTTGTCAGTGGTTTATTGTACAAGCCTTTGGCTGCGACAGTGTCTCCTATGAATAAATCATACACTTCACTAAGCACCAGACGATGGCAAAATGCAACAGCAGATGAAAAAAGCAATAAAGAACCATTACAGCTGCCTGTTCTCCTCTGCAGGTTTACATCACCAGCTGATTTAATTTGCTATTTGTAAAGGCACAGCTCACTGCAACGCCTTTGTGAAATGAAATCATAAATGTTCACGCGGGCGCGACTGAAAAGCGAGGCACCTGCTCGGTTAGGAGGTGTTTCCTCCCTCTGCAGGGCTCTTCAGCATCTTAGTGCTGCTCTTGGGGCACAAAAAGAGGATTTACAGGGGACAAAACACCTTGCTGCCACAGCTGGAAGATGCTGGAGCTGCGTGTGTGGGATGCTTTTATCACAGAAATGAAAGGGAACCACCAAGGGACAGAAATATCAGGACAAGGTTCTTCCCCCAGAGGGTGGTTGGCACTGCCCAGGCTCCCCATGGGCACGGCCCCAAGGCTGCCAGAGCTCCAGGAGGGTTTGGACAACGCTCTGAGGGACAGGGGGGGATTGTTGGGGTGTCTGTGCAGGGCCAGGGGTTGGACTGGATGAACCTTGTGGGTCCCTTCCCACTCAGGATCTTCCATGATTCTATTAAAATGGGCTCCATGTGCCTTCCTGCTCTGGACAGAGCTCACCCAGCTCTGGAGCTGGAAAATACAAGTTGTTGCTCTGCCCCAAAGCTCAGGAGCACAGGAGACACAAGTGACCAAAGCATCTTCTTCCCAGCCTCCACCACCGAGGCCACACGACCTCTCTGGGACACCAACGGGGAGAGGAGCAAGATTGAGGGTTTAATTCAGCCCCTCTTTGCTCATCCAGCTGAACACCCTCCTGGCATGGCAGGAACAGGCTGGGCAAGGAAGAGGTGGAGTCCCCACCCCTGGAGGGGTTTCCAAGCCCTGTGGATGTGGCACTTGGGGACTCGGGGCAGTGGTGGCCTGGGCAGTGCTGGGGGATGGTTGGACTCCATGATCTCAGAGGGCTTTTCCAGCCTGAATGATTCCATGATTTTCCAGGCCCTGTGACAGGTCACCTGAGCACAGGCAAAGCTTTGGGGTTCATAACTCAGTATTGGAAGCAAACCCACAGGCTGAGCCCAAGGGCAGGGTTTGGGGTTCCAGGGCAAGGTTTTGGGGGTGGGTTTGGTTCTCTCAACCCACAAACCCTTTGTTGTGCTTTCTCTCCCCTGCCCAGCTGAGGAGGGAGGTGATGGAGCAGCTGGGTGGGCCAGCCAAGGTCAACCACCACAGAAACAGGGAAAATTGCATCCAGCAAAAGGACAGCTGAAAAATCCCTCCATTTCCTGAGCTGTCCCAGTGGAGCTCTCCAGGTCTCCCCTCTACATTTCCTCCCCAGAGGAAAAGACCATCCATGGCATTCAGTCCTGTTTCCAAGGGGAAACAGTTGGGATAAGGATAAGAAAAGGGATCCTAGACCCAAGCTGGTTCACCTTTACCCCTGCAAACCAAACACCTGCCAGACCAGCAGCACATCAATAATCCCAACAAATATCTGGCTGGGCATGGAAATTTGGACTTCTCAGGCCTTTGCATGGAGATCACAGAGTCCTGGAATGGTTTGGGTTGGAAGGGACCTTAAATCCCACCCAGTGCCACCCCTGCCATGGGCAGGGACACCTTCCACCAGCCCAGGTTGCTCCAAGCCTCGTCTAACCTGGCCTTGGACACTTCCAGGGATGGGTTTCACCTGATTGCTGGAGGAGCTGCCAGCAGAGCCTGTACTTAGCAAAGGGATGGAATAATCCCTTTTTTTTCCCCCCAACACAAACCCTGGAGCTCTGACCTGGCCAGGAGCCAGGAATTCAGGAATTCCTGCTGCAGTTTCGTGCCCACCAAGGCACGGGATTGTCTGTCAGTGCTGCACCATTTGCTTCACTTTCGGTGAACATGAACACTGGGGGCCGTGAGGAGAGTGAACATTGATGGTTGGACTTGATAATATTAAAGCTCTTCTCCAACTTTAATGATTCTAAGATTCCTAAAGAGCTTCTGTCAATAATTTCAATAATTTCCCTGACATCTCCAGCTCTGATGCTTTTCCAAGAAGGTATCTTTGGTTTACAGTAAAAACACAAGCACTGACCTTTCAGAATATAATTTTTCTCTGCTGAAGCTGAATTAAGGACAGGAAAATGGAAAGCTCAAGGCTACACACTGAGTTATATTTACCTCTGTTCTGTTAAATTAATAGAAACCCAGGAGCCCTAAAAGGGGACAGCTTCCCTGACATCACCTTCAGAGCACAGTCCTGATTTCTGAGGTCTGTTTGGGGTCTGTTCCAAAATGTAAGGTCACCTCATACATAATTTCATCCCTGATCTTGCTAATTATTCTCCAGGGAGCCACCCCCTCCCATCCTGTGCCCAGGGACCTGCTCATGGTCACCTGGAGAGAGCAGGGAGGGCAAAAGGGGCTGTGCTGGAGTGTGCAGGGAAGGGAAGGGAGCTGGGAAGGGAGCTGGGAAGGGGCTGGAGCAGCAGGAGGGGCTGAGGGAGCTGGGGGGGCTCAGCCTGGAGAAAAGGAGGCTCAGGGGGAACCTTCTGGCTCTGCAACCCCCTGACAGGAGGGGGGAGCCGGGGGGGGTCGGGCTCTGCTCCCAGGGAACAAGGGACAGGAGGAGAGGGAACGGCCTCCAGCTGTGCCAGGGGAGGCTCAGGTGGGACAGGAGGAGGAATTTCTCCATGGAAAGGGTTGTCCAGCCCTGGCACAGGGTGGAGTCCCCACCCCTGGAGGGGTTTCCAAGCCCTGTGGATGTGGCCCTTGGGGACAGGGGTCAGTGGTGGCCTTGGCAGTGCTGGGGATGGTTGGACTCCATGATCTCAGAGGGCTTTTCCAACCTTTATGATTCAGTGATTCCATCAAACCAGCCTGATCCAACAACACTTCCCTTATGCAGACACTTCATTAAAATCCTTTCCCTCTTCCAGACTGACTCTTCCCTCTGGTGTGTCCCTGTTCCCTCTGGTGTGTCCCTGTGCCCTCTGGCTGTGTCCCTGTTCCCTCTGGCTGTGTCCCTGTTCCCTCTGGGCTGCGTTCCTGCTGGTGTTTCCAGCAGGAAAAGGACCCTCAGCCCTTCATCCATCCCTGAAGGCCCCACCTGAGCCCCCCTGTGCCTTTCCCAGTCATGACCCCCAAGTTTTCCAGGTCTCCTCCAATGCAGCTGCACCACTGAGCCCTTCCCTGACCCTCCTCCCTGCTTTTCCCTCTTCCCCCTGTGCCTGCAGCACTCTCCACACTCCATTTCTCACACAGCTGATCCACTTTTTGCTCCCTGTACAATCCCTTTTTACTCCAAGTCGATAAAGAGCTCTTGATTTAACCCCCATGGTCCCTCCCCACCCTTCTGGCAGCTCCTCTGCACTGGGATGGGTTGTACCTGTGCCCTTAACAGCATTTTTAAAGAGCTGCCCACTTCCCTCAACTCCTTTTTTTTTCCATTTGGGCTTGTTTCCCAAAGGATCTTTCCTACCAGTTCTGACCTTATTTCACTTTGCCCTAATAAAGGTCATTGGGGGTATTTTCCCTGGTTTTTGGGAGTTTTTTATCTCTCTTTTAATTCCATTTTCTGCACTGTTTACTCTCCCATATCCTTCCTCTGTATTCCATGGTCACACTCAGAAGTTCCTCCTGCCCTCCCCTTCCCAGCCAGTTTGTCCTGGTGCTCGGGACCGAAGCTGGAGGATCCCATTTTCTTCTCCAAAATTCCATATTTGAACACTACCACCTCTAACACCCCTCCCTGGGTGGCTCCACAGCCCTTTCACCCCATTCCCAGAATGGAAATCTCTGTAGGATTTTAGGTACCATGAAAGCCAGAGGAGCTGGGCAGGGATTCATGGAGCAGCTCCTTGTTTTCAGGAAGGAAACAAATGCCAAGGCATCGACAGCAGGAGGTCAGGGACAAAGGCAGCTCCAGGAATCCTCTCCCTGTGGGCTCTTGCCTGGAAAAACCCTAGAAAATTCCCAGAGTTTTGCTCTCCCACCTAAGGATAATAACTGTGCAGATCCTTGCAAGGCTGAGAACTCCAAAACGTTGATTTGTGGAGATATTGCAGACCTGAGAAGGGTTTTTTTTGGGGGGGGTTTCAGGGGTTTGAGGGGCAGGGTTGTGGTCAAGTACCAAGGTTTGGCATCAAACCCGTGAGGAAAAGTTCCCACAAGGGCAATAATTCCAAATGGAAAGGACCACCCAGGGTTCTGGGGGGAGAGGAAAGGCAGATCCTCCCGTGGCCACGTTTTAAAAAGAGAGGAATGTTTCCAGCTGTAATTTATAGTTGCTGTGCTGCCACCCAGGGCTGTGATCTCCAGCTCCTGCAGCAGAGATCACCCTGCAAACAGACAGCTGCAAATGGGATAATTGGTTACTTCTGGGAGACAACCTTTAAACTCCCCAATTTATGACACAATTCAGCAGCTCCAGCAGGTTGTAAAACAACCACAGAGGAAACAGCGAAAACCTGAACCAGTCCTTAATGCATTTTTCTATTCTGGGTGGCAGAACAGGGAGCCAAGGCAGAGTCCCTGCTCTTGTGCAACATGCACTTATCAATTTTTAAGAGCGTTTCCTGCGGTGCTGAAGCACCAAACACGGAAAGTGCATTTGGCAGCAGGCCCTGGGTGTCAGCAGGATGGGGAGGAGGGGAAAAAATCACTCACCTGTGGCAGGGTCAGCTCCCAAAGCTCTCAGTGCTGCAGGAGCTCAGGTGTCTTGAAGAAATATTTCGGTTCCTCCTCGATCACAGTTATAGTATTAAATGTCCTTTAGGATACTGGGATCTGAGGACAGAAGGGAATAATTGATTGTAAGATGCTGTGTCATGCATGAAGTGGCATAAACTAGAAATGTCTGTCTGATCTACAGACTTGTCACATGATTTTGAGGCACAAAATTAACTGATGATAAAGAAACTGCTGTTTGGACAATCCTTGGAGCTACAGTTTTACAGCTCCGGGATGGGGGAACACCCATTATGGGTATTCCCATCACTGGGAATCCATCAAGGGTGAAGCCAGGCTGGGAGAGCTGGGGGGGTTCACCTGGAGAAGAGAAGGCTCCAGGGAGAGCTGAGAGCCCCTGGCAGGGCCTAAAGGGGCTCCAGGAGAGCTGGAGAGGGACTGGGGACAAGGCATGGAGGGACAGGACACAGGGAATGGCTTCCCACTGCCAGGGGGCAGGGAAAGATGGGATCTTGGGAAGGAATTCCTGGCTGGGAGGGTGGGGAGGGGCTGGCCCAGGTTGCCCAGAGAAGCTGTGGCTGCCCCTGGATCCCTGGAAGTGTCCAAGGCCAGGTTGGAGCAACCTGGGACAGTGGGAGGTGTCCCTGCCCATGGCAGGGGGTGGCACTGGATGGGCTTTGAGGTCCCTTCCCACCCAAACCATTCTGGGAGTCTATGAAGACAGAACTTTTCTCTTTGATTTTTATTTATGATTTTAATTTGCAATTCCAGTTGTCTCACAAATCCTCTCTTTACAGTCCTGTTCCTTGCTGACCTGGCTGCCTCTTGTCCTTCCCTTCCCAGCCATTCCCAGAAATGCTGCCAGCTCCTCCCCTGCCCCTGTGCCAGCCCTGTCCCCCAGCCTGGCTCTGTCCCCTGGGCACCTCAGGGAGTGTTTTGCTCCCAGGACACTGGACTCCCATCCCTGTTGGAGACCTGACATTAGGTCTCAGCACTTGCTGAAGAATTTAATGCTCCTGAATACCAGTCCTGCTTGATAAATCTCCACCTCTTCACCTGCCTCCATCCCCTCTCTAACCTGTTCCCTCAGAGCTCCTTATTCATATTCTGAACTCTCTCTTATTTCTTCTCCACTGACTTTTGGGACTCAGGTTGTTCCAGAAATACCTCCCTGCACCTTTAGGCACCTAATGACCTTCCCAAACCTGCCCACATCCCCTTTATGCTCATCTTCCTGGTGTATTTTTTCCACCTTAGAGGTTTTTAACTGACACAAGGATCGAAGATATTCAACTTCCTTGGGAGTCCAGGCTGAGCAACTCCCCAACAGATCCCACACAGCTCTGGCTCCCACGTCACCAAACAACCCCAGCCCACTCTTTCCCAGGAGAAATGTATCCCAGGGGATTCAGGAAGACAATTAGAAGGGTTTATCACATCCCTTGCTATTAATAAGGCAGAACTGTCCAGCCAGGAAGCCCCCTCAGATCCATCAATCCTTCCCACTGGCGCTGGAGCTGCTCAATTTTTGCTATCAAGGGCAAGCAAGAGCCCCAGTTTTAGGTCTTCCAAACCTCTAAAGCTTCCCCAGTTCTTTTCCCAGGCAGCTGAGGTTTTACAGGAGGGTTTTTTCCTGCCTTTAGCACCGTCTGGAACTGCAGAGCTGGAGCTCCAGACAATGTCACCAGCAATATCTGTCACCTGAGTCCTTCTGCCTGAACACACCTGCAGGTTTCCAGGCTCATAGTCCCAACCCACCTTTGGAAACAGGGTCTGGATTATCTGCTCGTGCCTCTTGCTCTGGATTTTCTCCAATTCCCATCAGCAAACCCTGATGGGAAGTTAAGTTTTCTGAACTAAATAAAGGCTTGGCTCTGCAAAGCCACTGCCATCCCATTTTACCTTCCTGCACACCCTCCTCATTAACAGCCTGAACTGCAAGATTCCCAGGAAAGGGCTGGAATCCAGGATGTTTCACAAAAAACAGAGGCTGCAAAAGCTGTTCCCAATTCCCATTCTACAGCCAGTTACAAAACCATGGACATTTTTATTTTTTTTTAGTACCTGTTAGAGCTGCAGCAGAGAAAACTACCTAGGCTGGGTTAAAAGCTGGCTTAAAAGCTGGCTTTGTAAATACCAACTCAGGACTGAGCCTGACCTCACCTCTGGGGCAGGAAACAACGGGGTCCTTGGCATCAGACAGCTTTTTATTCCTGTTGAGAGGATGGAACTGGGAGCAGGGAAACACTCGGTGCTGGGAATGTGACTGCCCAGGGGATGGTTCCTGCTGCACAAGGATCCTGGAATAAATGAGACAGAAATCATGGAATCCCAGAATTCTTTAGGTTGGAAAAGGCCTCCAAGGTCGAGTCCAACTGTTCTCCCTCAGCACTGCCAAGGCCACCACTGACCCCTGTCCCCAAGGGCCACATCCACAGGGCTTGGAAATCCCTCCAGGGCTGGGCACTCCATCTCTGTCCTGGGCAGCTGTGCCAGGGCTGGACAGCCCTTTTCAGGGAGAAATTCCTCCTCCTGTCCCACCTGAGCCTCCCCTGGCACAGCTGGAGGCCGTTCCCTCTCCTCCTGTCCCTTGTTCCCTGGGAGCAGAGCCCGACCCCCCCCGGCTCCCCCCTCCTGTCAGGGGGTTGCAGAGCCAGAAGGTCCCCCCTGAGCCTCCTTTTCTCCAGGCTGAGCCCCCCCAGCTCCCTCAGCCCCTCCTGCTGCTCCAGCCCCTTCCCAGCTCCCTTCCCTTCCCTGCACACGCTCCAGCCCCTCCGTGTCTCTCTTGTCTGAGGGCCCAGAAGTGCCCCCAGGGCTGGAGGTGCCCCAGCAGTGGGCAGTGGTGGATCCAGGACCACCAGCCAAGCGTGAATGCTCCAGGTAGAGCCTGAGACTTGGTCCTTTGGGCCACCAACTGACCTGAGAACAAGCCCCAGGACGGTCAAACTGCACCGACTGTAACTCTCCCACTGATGTTGGGATCACTCTCCACTATTCCTCAACCCTGAGCCTCAGGGAGCAAGTCCTACACGTGGAGAACGTGTTCCCAGGAAAGTTTTCCCACCCCTGCTTGATCCCTGGAGGATCCCCAGGCCCGGAGCATCGGGAATGTGCCAAATTCCCAACAGCCTCCCGCTCTTCCCTTCATCCCCACGTGCAGGAGCAGCAAAGGCACCGTTGGCATCGTCACCAACCCCCCCAGTCCCGAGGCGTGTCTGGATATGAATCTAACATGACAGCTTCAGTAAGTCAATGAGCTAATTGCTAAACACACTAATTGATTTTTAATTACGGAGAGCGAGCCTTGCAGCACAGCCAAGACTGGCAGCTCTCTCTGTCATTAGAGAACAAAAGGAACTTCAGCTCCAGCATCCCCAGGCTCTGGTGTGTCTCTTGGCTGCACCTTTTCCTCCAAGTCATTTACAAACCCAGCGGGATTTCCCCATCCCTCATTTTCTGACTCATCCTGGGACCTGCAGCCATCAGAGAAAAAGCTTCAAAACACCCCAGGAGAAAGATATGTGCTTTAAACTCAGTTTTCTGGTGGAGGGGTTGGAACTAGATGATCTTTAAGGTGCCTTCCAACCCAAACCATTCCATGATTCTGTAAATACAAATTCAGGGCCCTGAACCACCTCCAGAGTGAAAAGAAAAGGCAGAGAAGCAGAGCTGCTGTTGGACTGCAATCCCAGGGGGATCTGCCATGGAGAAGCCTCCAGAGGGATGATTGGAGGGGACAGTGGATAAGGATGATTAAAGGTGGAAAAGCCCTCTGAGATCACCAAGTCCAACCAGCCCCAGCACTGCCCAGGCCACCACTGCCCCCTGTCCCCAAGTGCCACATCCACAGGGCTTTGAAGTCCCTCCAGGGATGGGGACTCCACCCTGTGCCAGGGCTGGACAACCCTTTCCACGAAGGAATTTTTCTTAATATCCCACCTGACCCTCTCCTGGCACAACTTGAGGCCGTGTCCACTCACCCTGTCACTTGTTATCCAGGAGAAAAGACTGACCCCAAAGGTCCTGTGATCTCCTCCCCTTTCCTGGGGAAGCAAACCGTGTTGTGGCCACTGTGGGGGTGACTCCTCTTGGCCCTGCCCCACCACAAAGGGCCAACTTGCAGCATTCCCTGCAGGAGCAGGGAACTCCTCCCCCTCCTCATGCTATGAGGGATGTGGGACACATGGGAAGGAGGCACAGATTCCTCAAACCTGCCTGTTGTGCCCCGGAATCCTGCTTAAAAAGGATCAAAACCACCCTAGAAACGAATGAGCTGCTGTCTCACTTACAGAGACCCTTCTTTGATGTGCCACCAGTGCCTCGGGGATCACAAGCCCACCTTGGTTCCTCCTTTGCTCTGTTAAGTCACCCCAGGGAGGTTTTTCCCCAATGAGGGAGAGAAAAGTTCCCAATTCCTGCTTTTCACTCACACAGGAAATTCTCCCCTGTCCTCCACTCCAGAAACACTTCTCTCACCAAAGCTCAGGGCCTTTTGCCTTGGCTGTGTGCACCTGACCATGAGATGGCAATTATTTTCACCTGCACTTGCCCAGCAGATCCCTGGAATCAGGGCATGAATTTTAGGAACAAAGGCAGCTTTTGATCTGCCAGGAGGGACCTGAAGCAGAACCTGTTCCACCACCCTCCTCTGCAACCCCTGCCTGCCCAAAACCTGCAGCACAGCAGAGGCAGCTCTTTCATCCCAGAGCAAAAGGGAATTCTCCCATTTCCTTCAGGTGAACCCAGAGCAAAGTCAGAGCCTGAGGCAGCTCAAGGGCTGCCCTGAGGGAAGGACCTCTCCTGGCACTGGGAAGTGGGCAGGACAGCTCCTGCCAGCCAGGATGGTGGCTGGAAGGGCTTTCAGGCCTGACTCAGCTCTGCTGAGCAGCTCAGGCTCTCCCAGGAGAGGTGGAGTGTGTCAGAAGGGAGCTGACAGCAGCTCCCCGTGTCCCTGGCCAAGGAAAGCCAACACTGACGGGCCCCCCGTGCCCTGGAGGTGCTGGTGGCTCCACTCTCCTGTGTCACAGTGATCTCCAGTGACAGGGGATGAACTCCCAGGGACACAGAGCTCTGACAGGGGACAAAGGAGAGGATTTGTTCAGGCTTGTGTGGTTTCAGGGGAAAAATAAATTAGGACTCTCGTGCTAAACACCAAGACAGCTGCCAAGGTCTGCCAGACACCCAAACCCTGTGTGGAGGAACAGCAGCTCTAAATAGAGCTGGCACTCTCTTCAAGGGGTGGAATCAGCTCTGGTGGGAGCATCTCTGGACTGGCAGAGGGCTCTTCAGAGGGCAAGAGCCCCCAGACCAGACCCCCCAACCCAAATGGAGACCAGTTCCCAGTTTCCTTCCCACTCCTCGGTGTTGCTCCAGGCTGTGTCCTCCCCCCACCCTTCTCACCCTCTGGATGGCATTTTGGAGTGGGAAAGGGGGGCTTTCCTTCTTCCCCAGCAGCTGTGGGCTCACAGAAACGTTTCAGCCCAGAGATCAAAGCCCTGCCTGTCCATCTGTTCCCCACCCACCAGCTGGACTCTCGCCGGCACCAGAGCAGCTGCACCTCTGCTGTTTACCTGCACAGACAAATTCCTGCTTGGGCAAATTCCAGCTTTCCCACAGAGCAAAGCTGAACCCCTGGTGCTGAAGATGGGCCATTTGGGGCAGGTTTCTCCCTGATGAGTGACACTGGTGCTCGCAGGAGCTCCTCAGTGGAGGCAGGAGGTCAGATCCACACCCCCCTCTCCATGGCAGGGGATCAGATCCTCCTCTGCCTGGCCCAGCTCGGGGCTATTTTGGGAAACTTGACCCCAAACTGAACTTTCTCTGACTGCAACTCCACATTTCCAAGTGGCAGCGACACTTCAAGCCAATAATGAGCAACATCAGCAGAACTCCAGGGGTCTGATGTCGCTGTGACCAAGCCAATGCAAGGAACTGGGTGTCTTGGAATGTGTCCTGCTCCAAACCAACCAGCTGCTCTGGAGAAGAGTCCTGGCATCGACTGCATTGCAAACCTTTGGGGCCTGGTTTTCACAGATCTGTTGTCCTGGAATCACAGAATGGCTTAGGTTGGACAGGACCTTAAATTCCATGTTATTCCAACCCTGTCATGGGCAGGGACACCTCCCACTAGAAGGAAGAACCACCCCCAGCAGTATTTTTCCTGGCACTCACAATTCCACACGGCCACTGCCCGGGTACTTCCCCCCTTTGGGTCAGGACTGAACACTTGTACTTATGTACATACAACCCCCTTTATGGAAACAACCCCCTGCTTGTGCACAGAGCAAATTAAACCTGTGGAGACTCCAATGCTGCTTTTGCCTCCAGCCACAGGATCTATCAATGGGAAGCAGGACACAAAGTGCTGCTCCAGCCTGTTCCTCAGGGCTGCCTGAACCCCTGAGACTCATTTCAGAGCTGTTCAGCTGAAAACCAGGGACATATTTCAACCTCCCTTCCCACCTCTGTGCCAAACACCATCTACTAAAAGCTGCTGTTCAGCTCCAATTCCAAACCCTGCAGGCAGCAGGTGTGACCATGGAATTCCAGCCTGGATTGGAAGGGACCTTAGAGCACATCCAGTGCCACCCCTGCCATGGGCAGGGACACCTTCCACCGGCCCAGGTTGCTCCAACCAGGCCTTGGACACTTCCAGGGATCCAGGGGCAGCCACAGCTTCTCTGGGCAACCTGGGCCAGGGCCTGCCCACCCTCCCAGCCAGGAATTCCTTCCCAATATCCCACCTATCCCTGCCCTCTGGCAGTGGGAAGTCATTCCCTGTGTCCTGGCACTCCAGTCCTTCTTCAGTTCTCTTGGAGCCCCTTTAGGCACAAAGTCACTCTGTTCCTCATTTTTTAGCCACACATCTTTCCCAACCTCTCCCAAGCCTCTCCCAAGCTCTGCCCCAGCTGGACCCCAAGCCCTGCTCACATCTGCCTTTCCCTGAGGCAGCACCCCGGGATGTGTGGGTGCAGTGGGATGTCCTGGAAATTCCCACACCAACCTGCAGTGCGCTGCACTTTGCAGGAATCCCAGAATCAGCTGGGTTGGAAGGGACCTCCGAGATCATCCAGTCCAAGCCTTGATCCAACCCCGCCGTGGTTCCCAGCCCATGGCACTGATGCCACATCCAGTCTGTCCTTAAACACCTCCAGGGATGGAGAATCCCCCCCTTCCCTGGGCAGCCCATTCCAAGGGCTCAGCACCCTCTCTGCAAAGAAATTCTTCCTGATCTCCAACCTCCCCCTCCCCTGGCCCAGCTGCAGACCCAGCCCTCTTGTCTTGCTGAGAGTTGCCTGGG